TACCTCCTGAGAAAATATGGGGTGAGGTAGTCCAAGCCCTTTGTAGAAGGCTGGAGCCCTGTGGGTGGAAATGACTAAGAATCTTTTGAAGAGATGGGCATGGTGGCGCACACCTATTGTCCCAGCAGTCAGGAGGCTGAGGCAGGAGGATTTTTGTGAGTTTGAAGCCTGCCTGGGCTACATAATTCAGGGCCATCCTGAACTACAAAGGGAAACCCTGCCTCAAAAACAAAAACAAAAACAAAATGTCTCTTGAAGTCATGGATGTCTGTTATTCAGTGTTAAGGTTTTGTATGTAAACCCCCATCGTGTCTCCAGATTTCCGGTAAAGTGCTGCATCCTGAAGGCCTTGAGTGTTTCTTTGCCTGAGTGTGTTGACAGCAGTGGTTAGCACTGTCCTAGGCAGGAGCGCAGTACCCAGCTCACGTTCTCTGTGTCAGGGTCCCTCAGGTCCTCCATGCTTTGAAGTTCTAGCTGGTGATTGTGCCTGTGTAGCCCTGGGGACTTGGGGGCTCTCCTGGCCATGGGAACCTCTGCTGGGCTCCCATCTCAGGCTGCAGGCGAGCCCAATGTGGGAGACCACCTCATTGACTGTGCCCAGAGCAGGCTGTGAGCAGTGCAGGCTGTGAAGAGTTAACTCCACATTTGGCTTGTTTTGAGAAGTGAGTCTGACCACAGCCTTCAGGCCTAGATAACATGGCACCAAAGTCAGAGTGACTCACACCCAAATTCCATTCCCAAAATTAAGAAGGCTTTGTCTCTTCTCTTACAAGCCTTGCCTGTTGTCAGCAATGAATCCCTATCATCCACGCATAGCCCTCCCGCCCTAACCTAACTATGATGTCATCAGTAAATATCAGAGGCTTTGGTTGGACGGGGTCTTTTGCTGCTTGCTCAGCACTGGCCATCCTGGCTCCCCACTTCTCTCTTTAATTCTGTCTTTTAAGTTTTTCTAATCACCTTGTACCATAGCACTGAGCAGGAGATTGGCACCTGCCATGGGGGTCTGATATCCAGCAACTGGCAAACAGTCACAAAAACCACTGGATCTGAAGTGTGCACTGCAGGCAGGATGTGATCCCTGGGTTGGCCTCTCAGGAACTTGAGTTGGCACTTGGCACAGGAGTAAGCAGGCTCATCGATGAGGGGCCCCAGTCTTGACTTGCTAAGTGGAATCCCAACGCTGTGATCTATAAGGCCAAGTGCTGTGCCAGAAGTTCCAGCCAGCGGTGCCCCTCCCAGGATATGGAGCAGCTGTCTGCCCATCGGCACTTTCCCTCCTCTGGGAACTCTTCCTTCACTGGAAAGCAGACACTTGCACAGGCTGGTTTGTGTGTTTGTACAAGGAGTTGCATGATCTTAAAGGCTTGCATGCCACTGGTGTGGGGGATCTGGTGACCCCGTGTCACTACAGAGACCTGCATTATCCTGCCTGAGCATCAAGGGGAATGCGGAACGTTCTGATCGTGCAAATGGGGTACAATGTGTTGTCGTCCTTCACTCCCCAAACTGAATACTGGCCTGATACTCTCTACCTATTGGAGCTTCAGGCTTGGAAAGGGATGATTCATTTGTAACTGTCCCAGGAGGAATCTGTGGAACAAGGTCAGGAGAGCCGATGTCCCTATGGACTTGTCCTTCCAGGCACTGCCTGATGGGTTAGAGGCTGAGGGTGGGTACAGCTGTCAACCCCCCGCACAACTGGCATTTATTGAGCATATGCTTTGTGCCAGGGCAGAATTTACCAGGGCAGAGAGTAGAGAGCCATGCCTCATGAGCCCTCCCTCCTAGTGGAGAACACAACAAACAAGCAACCAGGAAAAATAAATAAGCAAACAGGCCGTTCACTGCATGGCTGGGAATCAAGAGACAGAGACCAAGGTCCCACAGCATCCCTCCGCCCCATGGAGACCTATGACCTTGCACTGAACTCTGCTCACTTCCAGTAGCACCAAACAGTGGTGCTGCACATGGGTCACTGGGGACACTTGAGGTCCACACGACAGCGGGGACCGAGGTCAGCACAAGTTCTCACAGTAGAGAAGGGTGGAGTGGGTGGTCATCACAGGCATCTGGTGGAGTCTGGAGCACCAGGGGTGGGAAGAGCTCAGTGCGAGGGGCAGGAAAAGGCTGGAGTTGGACCGCAGAGGAGACATCTCTCCTCCCTGGAGGAGGGGACGTTCCGGGAGGAGTTCTCCCCGGTCTGTCTCTCTTCAGTGGTTTCTCTGGGGCAGTGCTGATCTTGTGGCTGACTGGCAGTGCATTCTTGTTGGTGTGCTGGACAGAAGAGGGCCTGCGAGCTCTTGGAGCCTCTGACCTCAGGCAGTGTGAGGCTGGGCTGAGGCAGTGGCCTCCGCCAGCTCTTCTGCAGGAAGTGAAAGTCTTTAGTCCGGTCTGGTCCAGGCCAAGGCTTCCTATAGCTCCTTCCAGGAGACTCAGCATTCCAGGAACCACGCTCAGGGAAACAAAGGGACAGTCGTGTCTACCCCCAGTGTGGCAGGACCAGTGTCATGTCTTCCAGGTGCTTCTGCCTGAGAGCTTCCTGTCTTCCTGAGCTGAGGAGCGGCAGTCTCTGGTTCCATGGTGTGGAACAGGGATTTGGGGTCTACTTCTTCCTGAACTCAATTTGAGCAACTTCCTTTTTTTTTGGTACTGGAGATTGAACCCAGTGTGTTCATACTGAGCTACCACCCTAGCCCTTTTAAAATTTTTTATTTTGAGTCAGGGTCTCATCAGTTTGGCTTAAACTTTCTTCAGTGTCTCATAGTGCTGGAATTACCTCCCAAAGTACCACCATGCGCGACTCTATCTTCCCTTCTTGTCTTTGTGTTTGTTTGTTTGTTTTTGAGACAAACATGGTCTGGCTATGTAGTTCAGGCTGGCTTTGAACTCACTATGTATCCCAGGCTGGCCTCAAGCTCATGGCAATCCTCCTGCCTCAGCCTCCTAAGTGCTGGGACTACAGGAGTGCACCACCAGGCCCAGCTACCCTCTGCTTTAGCCCACTGTTTCCTCTGTTTTCAGATATCTGATACCACTGATTCCTAACTTCTGGGGAGTCAAGTGCTATGAATCACGTTCCTCATCAGCAATTTGTCACTATCTCCTCTCCTGTCTTTATCCTTTTCAGTCTCACTTCTGTAAAACTCTGTGATCTGTGCAGAAAGTTTTCGGTGGAAGCAGAGGCATGTTGGCTCCACTGTGGTTGACTTAGCAGCTGTTGCTCTGCCGCTGTGGGGTAGGGGCATGGGGGCCAGGCGTGAAAGTGGGGAGATGGACGGGGCTGTAGCAGATGCAGGTTCGACCAGTGGTGCTATGGTGGGGGTGGAACGAGAAAGGGGCGACCTGCAGGAGGTTAAAGACAGTTCCTGTGCCTTCCTGAGAGCTTTGGTGGAGGGAGTGGGCACAGTGGGGAGCTAAGACAGCCCACGCTCCTACTTCATGCAGACGGACTTGGGAGGAGCAAGTGCAGGGTTGGGGATGAGGATGGAGGACACCACATAGTGAGGACAGGCAGCTTTGGGTTCTGGAACAATTCTGGGCTGGGCATGGTGGCCCATACCTGTAATCCCAGCACTCAGGAGGCTGAGGCAGGACAATCGCTGCAAGGTCAAGGCCAGCCTGGGCTACATAGTAAGTTCAAGGCTAGCCTGAACTTCATAGCAAGACCCTGTCACAAAACAATTCAAGTAGAACAATTCTGGAACTGAGGGGAGAGCTGGGGCTAGACTTAGGAGTCACTGGCACCCAGATTCACGTTTGAATTCCTGGGAGTAGATGTGATTATCAGGGGTCAAGCCTTATTCAAGAGTTGGGGCCCAGCAGATTGTGTGCCGACTTCGCTGCTGATGAGGCTTTGTACCCTCTGAACCGCAAGCAAAGGTGGGCCCTTCGGAGGACCTTACTCAAGCTTGCCCGGTCAGGTTATGTGAGCTCTGGGCTTGGAGCTGGCCTCAGGCTTCGCAGACTTCATGCTGTCTCCCCAGTTTCGGCCCTGGGAAGCCAAGAGCTTCTGGAAAATACCATTCTGTGCAGCCACTGGCCCCTTTAATCTTAGCCGACCCTCCCTCCTCAGTCCTGGACACACATTAAAGCTGCAGACGCTGTGTTGGGCGAGGCCCTTCCATCTGTAAGCTGCCCCTTGCTCGTTTTCATCTCCCTGGATCTGGATTTGGATCTGGAATTCCTGGCCGTGGTCCCTGGCTTTGATATTTGCCTCTGTTCTTTCTGGTTTGGCAACTCATCACGTTCGCCTTGAGGCTTTCCGGCCTCCAGATTTCTCTGCTAGCCCTCTGCTGGGTCCCGTCCTCCCGTCCTCTGGCTTAATGTCCTCCAGTGGCCCAGGACAAGGAGCGCTCTCTGGTTGGCACTCCACGAGTTCCACATGAGGCCAGAGATGAAAGCGGCCCTGAGGTAGCAGGCAGCACGAGGGCAGGAGGCCTGAGCCAGCTGGGTCACCTCACATGCACACAGGAGGCCAAGCGCGCTCGCCGCTCTGTCCGCAGGACCAGGCGACACTGCGTTCCAGCAGGGCTGGCCTGCTGCTTCCCTCCAGGCCCCTGGGAGGTGTCCGGCTCTGCTCTGGGGCTTGGCAGCAACAGTGAAGAAAGCCCGAGTGTCAGGGAGCTGCCGCCCACCCTAGAGGGGGACACTCAGAAACCCACACTCAAATGTATAGTAGATATTGGAAATGGAAAAAAAATGTTCACATGGGAAGGGGAACAAGGGAGCAGGCGGGGAGAAAGGAAGGAAGGGACAAGAAGAAAAGGAGAAAATAGAAGGAAAAAATGGAACCAAAGTTTTTGTACACAGGGGAGGGGAAAAGAGAATGGGAAAAAAGAGGCGGGATGTATCATGTATGGGTGCAAATTTCCTCCAGTGAGTGTTGTCATTATGTATGTGTAAAATCTACCAACTAATGTTCTGCTGTTTAAAAAATCAAAACTCACAAATGGATGGGGGCAGCCTTTTGCTTCCTTGGCACCCTCTCTGTCTTGCAGGACAAGGCCACAGACACCCAGATCTGCAGAGGAGGAAATCCCCAGAGGAAGGGAGGCCAGCCAGAGCTCAGCAGGTGCATGAGAGAAAAGTAGAGAAAGTGGGAGAAGAGAGAGGAGGGGAAGAGAACACGAGCTGCTCTGACTGAGAGCAGCCCCAGCCCCGCTCAGCTGGGAGGGTGCATGGGTGTCCCACCTGCTACCCCCGTGCAGCCTCAGCCCCCGGGGAACTTGGCATACACACTTGCCCTGCCCTGTCCTGGCTTTGGGACTTCAGTGTGCAAGTGACTCAGACACACTGCAGCCTGAGAAGCAACAGCTGAGCTCCCTTGCTTCCTCCCTGCCTCCCTCCCTCTCTTCTCTCCTACCTCTCTCCCTTGTCTACTTCTATTTTTTTGTTGTACTGGGAGTTGAAGCCAGGGCCTTCACACTGAGCTACATCTCCAGCTCTTTTTAGTTTTTATTATATCTTGAGATGGTTATTGCTGAGTTGTTAAATTGCACAGGTTGGGCTTGAACTTGGATCCTCCTGCCTCAGCCTCCCCCAGTGCAGGGATTATAGGTGGGTAGCACCACACCCAGTTTAGGGCACACATCTTGACCAAGGGCAGTGTTACTGGCTCAGATCTGAAATGTTCCCCAGAGTCTCAGGTGCTCAGAAGTGAGGCTTTTGGAAGGGGATTAGGCCTTGCAGGCTCTCCACTCACCGGGCTGATCCACTGGTGAGTTCAGAGCTCAATGTGTTTTAGGAGGTGGGTCAGGAGAGGTGGCTCCCCCGGATATGACCTGGAAGATCTTTCTCTTTTCTCTCCCTCCCCCTTCCCCTCCCCCTCTCCCTCCCTCAATTCAGGTGGATCTTCAACTGACTATGAAGTAGTCCAGGGTGGCCTCAAATTCTCAGTAATCCTTCTGCTTCAGCCCCCTCATTTCTGGGATTAGAGATATGAGCCACCATGCCCTGCTGTAGGGTGTATTTTTGTCCCTGACTACAACCTTCTGTCTGCTTCCTGGCTGCCATAGAGTGAGCAGCTGTCCTTTAACAGGCCCTTCCACCCTGCCATTTTTTTTTTTTTTTTTTGGTACCAGGGATCGAACTCAGAACCTTGCCCTTGCAAAGCAGGCGCCAGCACCACTGAGCTAAATACTGGGCCCACACCCTGCCATTTCTATTTTAGAGCAGCCAACTGTGGACTGAACCCACTGAGACTGTGAGCCAGCTAAACCTATTTTTCTTTAAAAGTTGTGAGTGCTGGATATTTTGTCCCGGAGATGGGAATGTGACTAACACAGGAGAGACAAGCTCCACTCCAGGCTGTGATGGATCATTAATAATTCTGCCCCCTTGTGGAGATGGGAGGGGTTTGGCGTAGAACACAGGAGGCTTCCTTCCCTAGGAAATGTATGTTTTTAAGCAGTATTTCCATCATTATTTGTAAAACTTATTTTCTCTTTACCAACACAATATCAATAAAAATGAATACAAGAAGCTGGGCGTGGTGGTGCATGGCTGTAGTCCCAGCTCTTGGGAGGCTGAGGCAGGAGGATTGCCACAGGTTTGAGGCCAGCCTGCATAGTGAGATCCTGTTTCAAAAATAAATAAATAAATAAATAAAATAAAAATTAAATTCCCAAAGTATTTTCTTTTCATTTGACTTCTTTTCAACAAAGTTTTATTCATTTTATATATATACATAAATATATGTATATATAATATATATAAATACATATATATATATATATATATATTTGTGCGTGTGTGTGTGTGTGTGTGTGTGTGTGTGCTGGGGATTGAACCCAGGGCACATGCTAGTCAAGCACTCTGCCACTGAGCTACATCCTCAGCTTCAAATCTTGACTTTTGTATTAGTTTATGAGCTACTAGTCACTATGAATTGAATGTTAAATATATTATGCATGAAAAGAATACTTGAAGTTATTTGTGTATTTTACCTATTTTTTCAGTTTATTAAAGTTGTGAATTTTAAATACATGGCTTAAGTTCATTTTTTCCTTTGTTCATGGAGCTAGTTTTATATGTTAAATCTCCTTCACTTGTTCTTTGGTTAGTGCTCAGCTCATGAATTTCTCTAAACATTTAATATCACTTACTGACTTGATTAATTAAATTAGCTTAGACTGTTAACACTGTAATTAAGCATTTGAGAATCGAACATGTTACATCTGTCTAAGGCAGACTTAGACACTAAGCACTTAATACACAGAATTTAGACACTATCTACAAACAGTCTCGGTTTATAGATCTTATTGGAGTTCTGTAACCAGTTATCCACTTAGTCTACATAAATACTAAGTTGGCAGTGCAGGCCGGGGCATGGGCTGCAGTAATGGAACACCTGCCTAGCTGTGTGAAGCCATGGGTTTCATCCCCAGCACCAAAAAAAAAAAAAAAAAAAAAAAAAAAAAAAAAACAAAAAAAAAAAAAAAAAAAAAAAAAAAAGAAGACACTGGAAATATAGGTCACATACTTTTATACTTTGTCAACACCTTAAAAAACAGGCTATAAAATGCTAAACTTTAAAATGGCCCAAGGTAAATCTGTGGATTTTACCACAACTAAAAAAGAAAAAAAGCAGATAAAACATAAATTATCCCCTTGGTAACAGCAGTTAATAATGCATATTTCTTTAGCCCTGTGACCAGTGTTAACATGCTGTTCATCTTGTTTACATCTGCCACAAGCCCCAGCCTCAGAGGTGTGCTATGGCTCAGCATTAGTGTGTGGCCTTTGCACTCAGTATGTTCAATGCATTTGAGTCCTCAGCACATACAAAAAATTCAGGATTTAGGTCCCACTGCAGACTAGGAATATGAATTCCAGATGGGCGCTGTTTCCCCTAAAATTAGGAACAAGACTGCCCATTGTCACCCCTTCTGTTCAACCTAATGCTTGAAACATTAGACAAAGCAAGCAGGCCAGAGAAAGAAATAAAAGGATACATATAGAAAAGGAAGAACTGAAATTTTCATTTTCAGATGACATGATACTTTACATATAAGACCAAAGAACTCCACCGAAAAACCTCTTAAAATTTCTAACCATCTTCAGCAATGTAGCAGGATGCAAGATGAACATACAAAAATCATTAGCATTTGTGCATGTCAATAATGAACTTGAAGATAAGGAAATGATGAAAATAATATCATTCACAGCCTTAAGAGAAATAAAATACCCAGAAGTTAACCTAACCAAGGAAATGAAAGACCACTACAAAGAAAACTACAGTACTCTGAAGAAGGAGACTGAAGAGGACATCAGAAAATGGAAAGACGCCCCTTGCTCCCGGACAGGCAGAGCCAATATTGTCAAAATGGCCACACTTCCAAAACTGTTATATTGTCATGGCCAAAGCCTCATGCAGTCTTTTCAGAGGCGGCTGCATCTGGATTGTGTGATGCGGGAATTAAGGGCACGTGAGGGAGTGGTTTTGGCCCCACACTATTCCCAGTAGTCTGGATGGGATGAAAGGGGCAGGAAGATGCTGTTAAGGTTCCTTGTTGCTTTTGTTACCTTCTGGCTACCATGAACTGTTTCTCCTCTGCAAGGCCTGTCTGCCAAGCCACGCTGCCTTGGAGCCAGCTGATTAGGGACTGAAACCTCTACAAACAAATCTTTTCCCTCTATGGGTGTCAGGTATTTTGTCTCAACAAGAGAATAGTTAGTAACATACAGATTCAAGTCAGTCCTGGCCAAAGTACCCACAACATACTTTACAGAACGAGAGAAAACAATCCTAAAATTAATATGGAGCCAGAAGATACTGAGAATAGCAAAAGCAATGCTGGGCAACAAGAGCAAAGCAGGAGGCCTTAAATATCAGACTACAAGCTATACTACAAAGCAATAGTGTTAAAAAAAGGCATGGTACTGGAACAAAAACAGACATGGATCAATAGGACAAAACAGAGGATATGGAAAGGACCCCGGATGTACTCAGCTATTTGATCTTTGACAGTGGGGCCAAAAGCACATGCTGGAGGAAAGATAGCCTATCCCACAAGTGATGTTGGGAAAACTGGTTACCTGTGTGTAGAAGACTGAAACTGGACCCTCATCTCTCACCATGTACTAAATTAAAATCAAATGATCAAAGACAGAACCACTAAATGTACTGGAAGATAAAATAGGTAAAAACTTGAAGATATAGTTGTAGGAAAGGATTTTTCTAAATAGAATAGTAATTGTACAAGAAGTAACAGCAAGAATCAACAAATGGAATGATGTCAGACTAAAAAGCTTCTTTACAGCAAAAGAATCAATTATCAGAGTGAAGAGATGACCTACAGAACAGGAAAAAATTGGCTGGCTTCTTCTCAGACCAAGGACTAATACCTAGAATATATAAAGAGCTCAAAAAAAATTACACCACCTAAAATTAAAGACCCAGTCAAGAAGTGGGCAAGAGAAATGAAGGAAGAAATACAAATGGTCAATATATATATGAAAAAATGCTTAACTGGTCATTAGAGAGATGCAAATTAAAACAATGCTAAGAGTTCATCTTAATCATCAGAAAAATCAAACACCAATGTGAGGCTGTGTTGGAAAAGGAACCCTCCTGCATTGTTGGTGGGAAGGTAAACTAGTACAACCACCATGGGAATCAGTATGGCGATTTCTGAAAGAATTAAAATTAGAAATTCTATATGCCCCAGTCTATCTTCCCAAAGAGCTTCAGACATCATACTACAGCAACACACACATACCAGTGTTTATAGCAGCCCAATTTATAATAGCTAAATCCGGGAAGCAGCCTGTATACACATCAGCAGACGACTGGATAGAGAAAATATGGTCTCTCTGTGTAACGGAATACTACTCAGCCATAAAGATGGATGAATTTGAGAACTTTGTAGAGAAACGATGCACTTAGAATTTAATGTTGAGTGAGATAAGTCAGACACAAACACTCATCTGAGTAAGGGAAAGTATAAACTAAGGGAAAAAGGAAGGATAGAATGAGGCAAGGGATGGATCTGTTGCAGATGGGAAGGGTCCAGGGGACCAGGGAGGAGGGGATGGGGAAATGGGCAGGGTAAAGATATGCCACATGTGGGAGGGGTCCCAATACCTCAGTGAGTGTGGACATTATACGCCACAAACACAAGCCAAGACAAACAGGATCAGCAAGAATGAACAGGGGGATGAGAGGAGAGGGCGGGAGGGAGAGGGGAAGGGGATTAAAGCAGAGAAACAAGCTGCATCACATGTGTATGCAGTGCCCCAAGGTGGCTGTCAAACGCATGTGCTGCAAAGGTGCTAATAAATCTAGAAGATGATGGGAGGTGAAATGAAATAAGATTGGCAAAGTGATCGTGTTGGGTTTGGGTGCTGGCACATGGTG